TCTCTTGCTGAAGAGTGGCAAGCTGCTCCTTAATCTGCTGAAGCTCATTATTGTCTTCTGGTGGAATCTGATTTGTATCTATTTCATTTTGACTCTTCTTTATATTGAAGTCTTTCAAGTCTTCTGTTAATTTCAGTATCTGCAATGTATAAGAACAGCATATTTTTCCCCATGTTATTTCATTTGGAGGAAACAAATGATCAGCCTTTGATCTAAAAGAAAATGTACATCCCAGATCAAGAAACTTAATCAAAAATTTCCTCTGTCAATATGTTTTTGTTACAGATACATCTTACCTGTTGTTTTTGATCATCAATAGTGATCTCTAAAGTTTCTTTAACTCTTGAAATTTGTGTGTCTTTCTCTGCAATGGTTTCTTCAAGTTCTTCATTGTGCTTCTGGCATTGCTTCAAAGAATTTTGAGCATTCCTCAACCCCTCCTGTGCTTCAATGTTCTTTCATAAAAAGATAGAATATATACATACATGCATTAGAATTAACACAACATGTATTGCGTGGGTGCTAAGAAATTCTTCTCCTACACTTAGTCACTCTCTTAGTGCAAGGATGGACAATTTGATGTCACATGTAGTACCCCAGGCCTAACTTGCAGTCTCCCAAGAATCCCAAGATCAAGCTACAAAGTTTAGCAACAAAGCAGGCATGGTTTGGTTGCATATTTCTGGAAAGCACACATAAAATGAATGTAAGGATGGAAATGGCGATGCTCAGCCTCTTTGAGGTAAGACGTGCCTGTTATCATCCTTAACTTCCCTAAAAGGCCAATAGTTTTGGCTATGTGCATGGTAATATCACTGAATACAACTGTTGCTGGATCCTAATCTTCCCCAATGAATTAAAAGTTATAAAAGGATAAATGTGTTCCACAGCCATAAAGAAGTCACCTGCCCTTTTTCTAGTGTTACTCTGCAATGTTTAGCTTACTGTCAAGATAGTATCTTGTATATCTTCTTGAATCTGATCTCTCTCCTTCTCAAGGGCTTCCTGCTTTTGCTTGAAGTCATTTCTTTCTTGGGTCAAGACTCTTATTTCTTCTTCACCCTTCTGAAGTCTTTGCATGATGTCCAGCTTCTGTGCTTCCTCAGCTTCCATTTTAAACTCCCAAATCTTCAACTGATCTTTGAGCTCTTCCATTTCACTCAGCTTCTGATGAGCTTCATACAGTTGTTCTTTAAGAGTGAGTAGCTCCTCTTGCTCCAAGACCTTCTCCTGCAATTCTCCATTTTTGCTAGATTGCTTTGATTTTTCAGGAGAAAATGTTAATTTTCAGGAGAATATGTTAAACACAATGAAAAGTATTGAAAATGCAGCATCAAAAGTTGTCAAATTTTGCAATTCTATTTTACTTTCTTCTGCAATAATCTTAGAAATGAACTGCTTGCAAATAATTATCAATTTCCCTCCACATTCTTCTTACATCATCAAATAGCTTGCAAATATGTGCATGTATGTAGAAGTGATGCTGTTATCACAAAGACATTCTCTAGTGTATTGTAACAACATTCTCTTGAGCAATGATTCTTTCGTATAGACAGCCAATATAGTACAATGGCTAAGGCACTGGACTATCACTGGAGAGACTAAAATTCAAGACTACTAGCAGCCATGTGTATACCCTGAACCAAGCTAGCATCTTATTTAATCACTGCTTGAACTTGTAATATAAAAAATAGTAGATGCATAGCATGGCCTGGGAATATACGTGGGGGTAATGCCAGGTGTAGAGATACTGAGGAGTTCACAGGAAAGGCATTTCACAGGCTGGTAAGTCAGTTTAATTGTCAGTCTGTTTTGCACTCATGAGTAATGAATGAGTGCATTGGATATAAAAGCTTTACAAATGCACACCTTGGCATGGACATTCCATGGTGGAATATTGCATAGATGCCTGGTGTCCATCCCAGGGAGCATTGCATGTTTAATCCTGCAAGTATTTACTTTAATAAAAATTATGATGATCACACTAGCTTTCACCAACTCTTTTTTGGAAATCTCTCATGGATATTGGACCCTGGAGGGCATTTACATTTGGGAAAACACCATGGAAGTTTGTTTTATTAATATAAATTATTTTTAAATATGTTAGTACAATTATGCTTCAGTTATTTAAAAACTCTCAGTAGTTACTATTTGGCAAGCAATGCCTAGAAGTCTTTGAAGGGCTTCCCCAAAAGTTTTCAAGGGACTCTTGAAGCTTCAGGATATGCACCTTTGATCCAGAACAACTCCCTGCTCAACAGAGCATCTGCAGTGCAGAAAGCTGTCCAACACCTGCTTAAAGCCTTTCTGCTTTTTGGCTTAAAAAAAAAAAGTGTTTTATGAAGTTGGCTTGATTCTACATGCACTAGGCAATAACTCTATCATACACCAGATAATAATGATGGAAAGGAAACTCCATTCGTTAGGATTATCTTGGGAAACCCTTAATACACTAACCTATAAGCAGGCAGCCAAAATGATAAACTCATGTATACTGAATACAGAGTGGCAAACTACAGTGCATTCCAAAAGTATTCAGACCCCCTTCACTTTTTTCAATTTTGTTATGTTGCAGCCCGATACTACAATTGTTCAAACTAATTTTTTTTCTCAATCTACACTCAGTACCCCACAATAACAAAGTGAAAACAGAATTTTAGAAATGTCTGTAAATTTATTAAAAAGAAAAAACTGAAAC